CAGCAGGACACACTACTGCCTAATTTTACATGTATTTATGTACACAACCATTCCAACATACACAAACACGCAGGCACACACACAAACACACTCAGGCATATACACATACCTCTTACATAATTTAGAAAAGAACAAAGAACTTACAGTAAAGAGGAAACTATGACACAATATTTCAATGTACTATATGGCTCACTGCCCACCAACTGATGCACTTGAATTAATATAATGAGACTATGAAGCACTACACTTTAGAAGGGAGAACACTAGAGTCACACAGTGGCATCGAAGAAGAAGAAATTTCTCTTTATGAAATCTGTGTAAGAGCTAATTTATTTTTCCCTTTTCCCCTGATCCATCAGGCCTCATGTTTTATTATAAAAGGGAGTATAAGGTGCTTGTAAACACCAAAGGGGATGACCCTTGAGATCACTCTCACATTTATGTCCATATGACACTGTCAAAATCTCCAAATCTATTTCAGTTCATACAAAACCAAAAATGTAGAGAAGATGCATTGAATAATATATATGCATTATAGGACTTATATGTTATAAACTCAGCAAACAGAAAATGAAATGTGCTGCCACTCTCTTACTGGCATGTGAGAAGATGTTTGCAACTCTTTCAAGGAAGCTGGAAGAAGGGGTAGTGAGTTTAAGCTGCAGTAAATTTGCAGAAATATTGTGTTTACTCACATGCAGTGAAAGAAAAAACTTTTTTTTGTTTATCCCCACGTAACTGGATATCAGAAAATTGCCAAAGAATACCATGTAAAAATTTCACATGAAAAAATTTCTAGAAAATATATACAGTATTTAAAAAGAGATCTTTTGTGTGTTTTAAAATATAATAAACACGTACTGTACATCTGTTAAAAAGAATCATATTATAGTAATTATAAGACTTTTCATAACACAACAATATCTGAGAGGTGAAAAAAGCAATATACATAAAAACCAATGGTTGCCAAAAACACTAATTGTCATTTGGTATTTTCATAGCTGGGTACAGATGTTTCCAGCTAGATTTCACTGGTTAAAAAAAAAAAAAAAAGTTGGAAAAAAAGAAATTATCTTGAATAAACTACCTTTATTTATGATTTTCTCTGAATTCTGCATGTGGTGACCATAGACATACTGCCACCTTGTCCTAGGAGTGAGTAGGGATAGGGAGTTCCACATGAAGCACAGTTTCGCTACATCACAGCAAACAGAACAGGTAGGTTTTAGTGCAAATGAAACAGGCCTATGCACCAACTGCTGATAGGAACCGAAGCCTGAGAAAAAATGTAGCACAGTAAATAATAAGGAGTATTTAACAGCCCCTCTCTTGCTGCCACCTTCAATTTTTTCCTTGTAACATTTTACATGCTGTTAATTTCAAATTCCTCTACTGTTAACGATCTAGGAGCAACAAATACACACATCATGAAATATGTTCTAAAGGGTCTGAATTTATTTCTGTTACTAGCAATGTAGGATTTCTGTATTTGATGGCCTTGCTATTGACTGCAGTTAATCTGTTTGTAAGCCATCATTAATCTCGGCTGTGGGTTTTCACAGTTTGTGTAAACACTTCATTTGCATTAAATTTACAGCATTAATGAGATGTGAAATTTAAAATGCTACTTGAAACATAAATGATGTAAGAAAATAAAACACAAATATGTTTTTATCACGCTCGAAATCAGCAAACCAGTTTAAACCTTTTAAAGGAGGAATGATGATGTGCTGCTTTGAGAGTTTGGTTTTGTAATTCATCTTCTAGACATAAAACGCAGAAATGTAGGCATAAACTTCTGGAAAATATAAAATAGCTTGAGAATAGTAATTTGGACTGCTTAACTTTGCTTATTCTTTATTGATTTTGAAATGAGTACTTGCTTTTGTTCCTTGTACACTTCATTCTTACTCCTAACATTCAATTAAAGGTTACATGCATGAGCTCTTGAAAAATAAAGCAATTGAAAGAAATACTATTGAGAGTCCCTTAAGATGACACAAATCTAAGCAATACAGTACATGCTAAGATGATGTTTCTTAAAGGGCTTGTTTTTGTCTGGAATAAATCTAGTCTTCAGATGACAAATACTGAAACCCTGAGGATCCCACCCTAATCCGAGATAACAGTGGCAGCACGTAGAAAGCTAGTATCACAAACGTTTGTCTATATCATTACACCTATGTGAAACTTGCCCACCTGTTGCTGGTGTAGGAAGGATGGGTCTCTTGGGCTTAGTCCCACATATCGATTGGCTTGGGTTGTGCCTGAGGCTGTGTAGGCTGATTAAGGAAGAACAAAACAGATAGATTGATAAAAATGCCAACCTATCATAACTATTACCCTGTGCAGGTACAGTACAGATACGGAGATCCAGAGTTATGATTTGCAACATATAGGATGTGTCTGTGTTTTAATTTTATTTAAACTTTAATATAATGCGAAATAAAAAAATGAACCAAATTCGGAAAGGCATGTGCAAATTCCTATGAACTTCAATGGAAGCTGCATGTGAAAACCAAAATCAGAATGAGGACTGTAGCTAAAAAAAAACCCTCTGGTAACTAAATACCTACTTTTTAGAAAGTAATTAAAGGAAGACATGTATTTGAAAGTATTATGGGCATGATTCTCATTCCCATTACATAAAAATAAGTTTGCAACAAAATTTGTGGGATTATACCGTTGTCACTGTTGAGAGAAAAGGATAAGGAAATGCTGGTGTACACTAGTTCTTACTGTTGTGAGTTTCCACCACAAAATTGTAACAGATTAACAAAAATTGGAATTAAAAGCTTAGCTTACTTATGTGCCTTAAAACCCATCTTTACAATACTTTGGCAAAAAGACGCAATCTGATCAGTATTTTCATGAGAAGGCAGCTATTATTTACTGTGCAAGATAATATTAAACATTCAACTCCTTTAATATCAGGAAATAGTATTCACTCAGGGGGACAATTTAAGAAAATCTTTCCCTTATCTGATACAGAAGTTTAAAAAAATCCTTCTCTGAGGGAAAAGGGAGCAGTAGGTGATGCTGGGATTAGTTACAAGATATGGATCCTTCCAGCTACAGGTCATATTCATCTCTGGCTTAGGTCAGTAATCATTAAGACTTCTTATTCTCTCATGACTTTTGCTGGTGTTTATGAAATGAGTTTGCTGGTCTTACTCCACTTTCCAGTGTGGAGATGTCCATAGTGCAACTCGCATCATTGCTGTCTGGCAGACAAAGCAGAACTGCAAAAATCGAATATAGGTACACACAGTAGCCGGTGAGGAACTAGATCGGAGTACTTACTAAATTCGCCCATCAGTATTAAAGTCACATAGCAAATATAACTAAATGAAATTATTCTGTTTCTAAGGCCTTTAAAAAAAACTTTTTACAGTAAACAGGTTTTACTGAAAGACTCTCATAAAAATGATCTGATCTTAGAAGGAAACTATGGTTGAGGCCACAGGATTCCCCAAATATTATCGAAGTCTGCTGTTCTTTCTCATTCAAAACAGTTCTGCTGTTGCATTTCAGACCGAAAATCAGTGCTAATCATTTACCATCGTATTCTCATCAGACAGAATAATTGTGATAACCTGTTAGCCAAGTATGTGTTACATATGTATGTATGTATGTAGGCATGTAACTATATTCTGAAACAATAAATTAGTTACTGGAAATAAATTTAAAATTATTCCTTAAAATATATTTAGGCTTGATTTTCCCTGTAGGTTAAGATATGAGCTATCTAAGGCAGGTTTTTGATGTCTCACAATACAGTATATGTATTTTCATATATAACTTATATACGAGCAGAACATGACCCTTCTTGTTCAGCTATTTCCTTCATCAGCAAGCTACGTTCCTTTGCTTCTTGTTATCTTTCTCCTCCAGTTATCAATACATTTTCAAAAGGCTTTACCAATGACGTGCACTGTCACACAACTGTGAAAAGCATAACTCTCTGAATATGTAGCATTTCCATGCCATCTCATATGCACAATTGGCACATTCAGATAAAATTATTACATAGATGTTTTTAGTATTACTATTATTTATGTGCTGTTGTGGCAAACATTGGATCTTTGGGCAAGTGACTGCTTGCAGACTGATTTGTAAGCATGAAGAGGCCTTATTTCAAAGATCTAAGCAGACGTTTCAAGGGTTCATAATGGTGGCAATCAGGTGCTGAAGTTACAAAGAAATTCAAAGGAACTTGGCTACCAACTTCTTTAAATGGTTTTGAAACCTTAATCCAAATTTTTCTTTTAACTAAATTAATGAAAAGCTTAGGTCTGCTTTCCTATAAGTGTCCCTAACATAGTTAGACGACCTGAAAGCACCCCAACATTGTTCTGACACAGTATTTGTTACTATTCCATGGGGGTTACAGCCCCTGGCCTCGTTAGAGACAGATGTTTGGGCAAGGCATGATTACTTTAAACAAGAAGCAGGATGAAGCCATGAATACTTGAAACTAGCCATGAACCCACTTTTCCCACCTATTCTAGACCAAAAGTTGAGAGAACAACATTTTGTTTGCTGCTAAAGCGAAGTCTTTTCAAATGGTGCAAGAAATGCACCACAAGCCACCAGCCAGGATATAGATCCACTGTACTAAGCGATCCCTTGAACAGACCTTCGGCTACCCAAGCTAAAACATTTGCATAAATCTATCAGTATAATTATTAGTTTACAGCTGAGTAAATGTTTGTCCAAAAGTTACTCTTATCTCTTTATAATAAAGATATAAGAAGTTTTGCTGTTTTATATATTGCCTGCTCACACGCATTTGAGTCTCATCTCTGCTTCACAGAAGCACACAGTTCATGGTCTCAGTTAATGACAGTCCAAAAGTTAGGGACCGGAATCAGAGTTCAACTAATAAATCTGACTGAAGCAAGCCATTTTAATGTAATGCGTCCTAAAGAAATTAATATTTTTTGTGAATAGTAAATTTTCTTCCAAATTATATGATCAGAAATATTGCCTAAAAATCTTTGCCACACTGATAAATACAAGTAACACTGGACTTCACAAGTCCAAAAAAAATTCAAAGACAACAGAAGTGCAGAAAGTAGTTAAAAAATAATCTCCTGCACCACTGGGCATAAGACGTATATTCAGAAGAGAAGAAATTACCTTATGCACAGTAATCCCAGTGTTCTTATTTCCAAAGCTGCAATTCCATTGAAGATAATAGGATAAGTAATATGGTCCTGAACATACAGTAACAAAGCACTTGAAGCTTAAAAGTTAAAAAAAAAAAAAAAAAAGGAAAAGCAGTGGACTGACCATCCCTTCTGGCAGCAATGACAAGGAATTAAAATTTTCTTTTGCCGCCTCATTTATTTTTGCTAAAAATGACACAACCTATATGAGCATGCAATTGTCATAGCTCGGATTCAGTATGCGTTGTAACAAGGCTTGATTTCTGTAGGAAAGCTCATTGAGGAGCAGATTATCCAATCTCTTTTGGGAAATCTGTGTGTGGGTCATCGTAAAACCTTGCTCTCTGAGTGTGCTTCTCAATGGCCTTAACAATGTCCACCTTAGATGAACAATCTGTTTTTCTCTTGGGTAACAGTCAAATAAGTAAGCTTTTCCGTTTCATTTTGGTTGTCATGTCACAAACATGTAACATGATACGTTGATTGAAATTTGAGGAGGAAAAGCTTTGCAGCCAGATCACGCATTCGCTCTCCATGTAAAATGATGAGCATCCACTTGGTCAAATAGTAGGAAAAGGCGCCTTTTTCTGGCCTCAATTTGAAATCATATGGAATCTTCGATGGACATTTTTTGTTTCCTAGAGAAATACTTACTGGTTGCTGTAGGTGAAGATGCCTCACCTTCAGTGGATGTAGTGATGGGTTTAGTATCTGTCATGGTCAGGGTCACAGGTCGCACCGCACTGTGATGGGGAGAGGGTGCCAAAACTGGAGTAAAATGGCCAGGCACAACAAAACCAAAAGAATTCCTTGTGAAATATACACATTGTGTTTAAGGAACCTACCCGCCTATCTCAGGGTTTTCCAGAATGCCCATCACCGTAGCACCTACATGCTGGAAAATGCCACTCTCATAAAACTGTGAATTTCTGTGTGATATTTTCAGCAGGCAGCAGATCCTTTCATTCACAGGCAGGCTCTACATGCTTAACTTGCAGTACATTTTGATAAACTTTATTTCTTTCTGGATGCAGGGTCCATCAGATTGTTTCATACTTCAGTTGCTGTTTTCACAGTGACTGTGAGCCACAGTAAATCCCACCATAGTGAGATTCAGCTGAGCAGGCACAGGCCCTAATGTACTAAGCACTAGCGCAAATGAATGAAGCAAGACCTCTATTTTCACATGCTGTACCACTCTGGCTGGGAGTATAACCAAGGCTTAACCACAGCTGTCCACAAAGATTGCACATACTGGAAGACTAACTAATAATTTGCATGTCTGGGGGTGGGGAGAGGGTTAGGATATGATGCACTGTAATGTGTATCTCATAAAACGTGGCCAGAAGCCACCTACCAGAAAGCATCCTTCACAGAGATCTTTAATAATGGGAACTCTACAAGTCAAGAGTATAATAAGCCTAATTACCTCTTTTCCTAGACAGATTTACAGTATGTAGAAAAGGTAAGCTGCATATGACGTAATGGTGCAGGTCATCAGGGTGATATTCCACCTCCTGCACATATGAACTTGATAATGTGTACTACTAAACGTATACATTTATCCAATGTGCAAACACTGACATTCTGCATTACTGCAAATACCTCAACAGTAGATAACATATAGCAAAAATTAGCAACTAGTAAGCAGTCATTTCAAAAGTAGCAGACAATTTTTGTTTGAAGATGACTGTGTGCTCTGTGAATTGTAAGCATTTTAAAATACAACCACACAACGTAAAAATTACCGGCAATCTTACTATCACAAGGATATTGTAAAACTTGAGATAACTCACTGAAAAGAAATAGACTAAAAAAGGACCTGATTCAACTAATATAACGAAAGGTTAAAAGAGGTAAGCGTGGGCATGGTAATGAAATAATAACTGTGGGCTGAGATGATTACTGCAAGTATACGCAGAGTATAAACACACACAAGAGGAAGGAATTATTTGGAAAGTACAGGAAGTATAAACCAGGGGCAATAGAATGAAATAAAGAAGGAGGAAATTTAAAATGAATAGCAGGAAAACTTCCTGGCAGTATGATCTATTAGACTTTGCAAATGGCCCCAAGGGAGACAGTGAGAGCCTTGTTCTTTAAGACACTTACTTAAAAATAACTAGAAAAAAAAAAACACTAGAAAACACAAAATGCAAACAAAGACCAATCCTGTATTCATAGGAACATTGAGCACTTAGTAGATTATTTCACTGTCTAAAATCTTAGGTCTTACAATGAAAAATTACAGTAAAAATATACCTTAATGAGACAGGGCCAACAAACTGCTGCTCTAAAGAAAAAAAACCAACTCTTTAAATTTTACTATATTTAGTCTGGGTTGGAGCAGGAGAAGGAAGCACCATGGAATCCCAACATCTCATTTTACAAGATCTTGCAAATACAGGAAGTGATATTCAAATTTGTCAGGTGGTATTCACCACTGTTTGTACATATTCATAGTTATACAAACTGAAAAGGTACTACCAGGAGTTTACTAACTGGGGAGAAAATGTCAGATGCCAAAGCAGTTTCAAAATAAGAAAAAAGCACTGATTCTAAGGGAATGACAATACTTTCACATTTTAAATTTCCTCAAATCACTGGTATGCTACATAAAGTTTTATTCATCGGATGAAACTTAGCAGTAAGATAGATCTCCCTTACTATACGTACTTGAGATGAAGATGACACATGGCAGAATATACACAAGACAATTTACAGAGAATGATATGGCATAAAAGTTTACTTAACCGGTTGCATCGGTCATAAGTGGAAAGTCGTTCAGTAATTACATAATTCTTTCCTCAAGAATACAGATGAAACCTTTGTATTACAGCAAACAGTCATATATAAAACGTATGCCAATAACTCTGTTTTCTTTAGAATCTGTTTTGGTAGTGGTTTATGGAATTTTATTTTATAGGCTGCATTTTAAAGGCCTGCCAGCTTCTAAAATGAGGTGTCTTCACTACCAGAAATCTGACTCTGCTTTCCTTAGAACAAAAGGAAAATTGCAGTTAACATACATGCAGAAAATCTCTAAGCATTACCTAAACAGATTCTCCATAAAAGAATCCAAGATACGCCAAAACTTAGAGGCAAATACTCTCACTCACTGCATGTACAGTATGGAATTGTTGAAACAAAACAGGCTCTGTAATATGTAAAGGAGGCTTGACCCAGATTGAAGCATTTGAAGGGAGAACTGTCGGAAACATAGGCAGGCCTTACGATACAGATCATCTCTAAAACACCAAAAGTCTTGTAAGTAAGCCTTGCTTGCTATAATGGACCTGATTTTCATTATGTTTCTTGGATGCCTGCTGCAGAAGCCAGCCCTTCTGGTGCTCTGCACTGCTGAGCCACCGCACAGGCTGCTGCATGCACAGCCAGGGTCTTGGGGGTGTTTGTTTGGCAGTTCCTCGCCGGCTGTAGCCAGCGACCTGCAACCGTACAGCTACCTTAGAAGGCTTAGTTTATGTGGTGAGCTAATGTATCACAAAACAACTGAGATTCCCCTTACCACGATGATTAACTTTTATTAGAAACTAAGAAAGAAGATTCCAAGGAATTTATGGGTTAAAGTGGCCAGTGTTACCAGCTTCCAAAAGCAGCTCTGTCTCCAAAGCCAGACTCAAATTAATTAAATGGACACAGCTGGAGTCCAGCACTATTTACAGCAATGTATCACCTTTTACTGTTCCCTAGCGATCCAGTCAATAGGAATGCAAGAGCTCACATGGACTCCAGATTAGTCCTTGTGCATATGGCCCGAAACAGTGAACCCTTTCCCTGCTGAATTATAGAACAAAGGATAAACTTAAAATGAATTATCATATAAACCATATTTTCCCGCTGTAATATATATAGAACATAGAACAGTGGTTCAGTACATCTTCCCACTTCATCCAAGCCAGGGTGAAATCCTGTCCTCATTGAAACCAACAGGGAATTTACTACTAATTGTAGTGGGCGTGGCTTGTGACTCCCCTGCCAAGCATTTGCATTTCTATTTCATTTTTTCACTGTGTTCTTAAATGGTAGATACTGTTCTGTATCTGTACTACAAGTAGAACTGGAACCAGGCACAATAGAAGGAAATTCAGGTCAAGAGAGAAAAATAAATCCTCCAAAGTAAGAAAAGAAAAAATTCACTACTTTAGCAAGTTTCATTCTTATGTTTCCAGCATTTCAGACTGACGCACATTAGATTTCAAATGCAATTATAACCTTTCTACCTGCTTCTTAACAGTTTTATTATATCTTGTCACATTACTGAAGTACCTCCTTACTGCACTTTGTCATTTGTTGTACTTTTATTTTTGTAATCTCCAATACTTAATCCTTTCCTTTTCCAGGTAACTTCTACTTTCACATTTTTCTCCTGGTTTGTCTAATGTTTGCTTAGCTGTAACAAAATTTGTTCTAAAAATTTTTCAATATCATAAAATACAGTATATTTCAATAACTGCTTAAGAGTTATTGCTCCATGAAAGGGATAACAAAAGTGCTAAGTGATGGAGCTTGATGCACCATGTCAAAGAAGTTAACCTCTTTCCTAGACTGAAAGTTTCCTTTACTTATATTTCAAATTAGCCTCAGTTGTAGGTAGTTGTAGTTGTAACCAAGCATATACCTATCAGGATTTATACAAATATCATTCCTCTTCAATAATCCCAGCAGTTTTTCAGATGTGAACCAAAGTCCTCCTTCTGATACTTTTGTGTTTTTCCCAGGCGTTTTACATTTGAAAACAGTTTTTATGAAAAACACTTCTACTCTCCAAAACTCTGTTACATGAATGCCATTCATAACAAATCTTCTTGAAATAGCCACACTTTTGTCTTTCTTGCATGTAGTGAATAACAGTGAAAATGTTAGCAAAACCAATGTTTAAATTACCATAATTAGTTTGCAGCCTAAGATCACAAAATAATCCTGAACAGATCATTTCATTGTATCAAAGTTATTGTTTAGGCCTGTCGTCAGACTCACACTGACATGACTGCGGCCTTGATTTATACCAAGTTCACACTTCCAGGGTTATCTTTGCAAATGTAAAACCAAAAGCCTTTAAAAAACAGTTTAGATCCTGTAGTACAGTAGTCAATAGCCACTACGGGATTGCACTGGAACTTCAAAATGGCTCAGTCACCTCATCCATGCTAGCGCTAATTTCTCTGGCACCTCGAGAAAATCAGTACAAGCTCAAGAACACTGACTCTCATGCTTGTCTAAAGTCCTCTGCCCCACTTCAAATTTCCAGCGCACAGAGGCAGACCCTCTTGGCAGAAATAGCTCTATGAAGTTACTAATTCTGAATATTCTAATTAAAAACTGTCTGCTAGAAATAGCTTCCGTGACTTGTTCTCATTTTAACTTTGGCAGTTCTTTAAAAAGACTCGTTTAAGAGGCATTTTAACATGGACACACCATATCTATTGCGATAGTATTTACTTATATTACAAGATCAAATATTTATAGCATAACATTTGATACAAATTCATTTTGTCCTTTTTAAAACAAGTTCTAGGTTCTAGTTCTAGTATTCCTCAAAGAGATTCTTAGAAACTAATACATTATAGGTTAAAGATCGACTGCAATCATCAACTGGGGCACCAATATGTCTATGCAATGGATTCACAAAGAGAAAGATGACGTCCGTGGCATAAACCTCTAGCAAATTGCATGGAGGCAGCTGTGTTAGATAAGCAAGCTGTGCATTTGAAAATCAGAGAAGTAAGCAGGCAAACACAATGGAAGTCTGGCAAATTTAGCTCTAATTTATGCAGGTGTACTTTTCTTT